AGTCCCACTTGACTCAAAATCTGAAGATCATTTGGTTCTATATTTGATGGAGTATATGGGTCTGAGCCCCAGGATCCACATACTCAGAAGAACAGAAAGCACAAGACACTGAGTGGTGCCCTCGTCGGCCAAGGGATCCCCGTCGGCCGGAAAGGTACCAACTCAGAATATGGTCCTGAATCCAAGGAACCGGGTGCCCACGTCGGCCGCGCTCTCGTCGGCCGTGCCCTCGTCGGCCGTGCCCTCGTCGGCCACGCCCTCGTCGGCCACGAAGACCTCACAGAACCGGATTTTACACTTACTCATTTGTACAGCCCATTAGTGGCTTTGTATTCGGCCCAGTAGCGGTCCAGTTGTAAATGGGCCTCCCAAGCCCAAGGCTTGGGAGCCCAGCCCGTATTTTCCCTATAAATACTTCCTCTGGAGGTAGTTATCAGGGTGACGAATTCATTCTATTGAAGCATATTATTGCACTTCTCTCTCTAGCTCTCACTTCTCTCTAGATATACTCCATCATTTGGTGCTCTCGTTGAGAGCTAGAACTATCAAGTTAGCACCCTTCGTCGCTACCAAGCACAGCTAACCACTGATCATGGGAAGAACTAAATCAAACCGCAACCTCGTCAGCAAGGCCATCCCTGAGGACCAAGAGGCCAGGGAGCACGAGGAGGATGCTACGGCCGACCAGGTCGGCGGAGGGGACGTCTTCCTGGAAGCCATCAACCTCACGACGGACCTCCGCAACCAACTCAACGGCGGAGCCCCTGATGCCTGCATCGGCTTGGTCAAGAAACGAGCTGAGAAGACGGACCACGCCCCGGCCCAGCCTATGGCCGGGGCCTCTCCGTCTGTGGATCCACAGGTCCAGGCCGCGCTGTCGGTCATCATCGCCAGCCTGGCCCAGAACCCCACCGTCCTCAGCGCACTCCTGCCAAGGACCGGGGGGAACGTCACTCCACCTCCTCGGCCCCAACCGTTGGCCGTCCAGATAGGCAACGACGAGGGAGTGATGGCCCAGGACACGACGTCGTCCCACTCCCACCCCGCTTTCCCTCTTCGGCCTGGGCAGACTCCAGCGCGTGGAAAAGCCTCTGCCTTCAATAGGCTAGGTGACACGCGTCGTCGTCCGGTTTCGGAGAGGATGGCAGGGCGGATTGGTGAGCGTCGGCCTGGCTCGCCAAGGGAAAGCTTGGGGTCTGTGTCCCGGACAGCGGACCAGCCCCGCTCGGACAAGGGCAAGGGAAAGCTGCACGAGGACAACGTGCGCCACCAGATCAATGCGGCTCACGACGAGCGCATGAGGAACCAGCAGGGCGCCGCTACGACCGCCAGGGACCCCCGGGACGAGGTCATCGCCCAGCTGGAAAGGAGGCTGACTCAGATGGAGGCCAGGCAATCGGCCAACACCCCCATGGCTGGCGCCTCCAACGATCCCGGCCTCAACGCTCTCATGAACAAGGTCAGCGCCCTGGAGAGGGAGTTGGCCGAAGGGCGAGGTGACCCCATCATCCAGGTCAGGACCAGGACCCCTTTCACCAACAGGGTGCTCTCGGCCCCCATCCCGGAAAAGTACAGGGGGAACGCCATCAAGTCTTACGATGGCCGATCAGACCCCCAGGAACACTTTAGCCGCTATCAGAACAACATGCTAATGGTGAACGCGTCGGATGAATATCTCTGCCGTTGGTTCCTCTCTATTCTTGAGGGGCCAGCGTATGAGTGGTTCAACGCGCTTCCCGAAGGGAGTATTGACTCATGGCAAGACCTTGCCCAACGCTTCCTCACCCACTTTGCCGGGAGGAAGCGTGCGAAGAAGTATTTCACCCACCTCCTCAAACTCCTCAAGCACCTCGTAGTCAAGGGACCTAGTGGAGGGTTGTTGGTCGTCGTAGGGGTAGTACTCCTCGTCCAAGCTCTTCATTTTACAACTATTAACGCCCTAAAGGTCTCTACTTTGGATCTAAGTGCGAATCCCCTATTAACACTAGATCAAAGGCCCAGGAAGCAAAGTATATGAAATATGAAAGGAACAGGTGAAGAACTGACCTTTGAATATTTGAAGAAACGGAAGAACACTTGAACAAACACCTCAGAGACTCTCTCTCTAGAAATTTCAGCAGCACTTCGTGAGCACAGATTGCAAATGAGGTTACCGCGTCGGAAGGGGAGGGGTATTTATAGACCTCCTCTCCAACGGTCACTACACGTGGCACCATATCAGTGGCCACCTCAGCGGTCACCTTCCCAGCAGCCAATGAGGTGCCCCCCCCCCCCCCTTCAGAAATGGGCCGGGCTCGTGAACTAACCTACCGGCGGAGTAAAACCCTACGGATCACACGGACAACGAACGCCCACAACGGCCTATACGCTTACCGGCTTCACCAATGCCAGCAAAGCGCCCACAACGGCTAGGGACGTCATGAACGCCCGTAATGGCCACAGAACCAAAGGAATAAAGAACCCGCAGCCATCGGCCTTCGTAACGACCCCTGATGATAACTCTTTACAAGCGATCTGCGCACAAGGGTTCTCTCACAGGGTTACCTTGGCCAGAAAATCGCCATAAGGGTTGGATTCAGGGGCACCACGGAGAGGCCGCTTCGGCCAGGGACTCAAGCAACTCCTTCACCCCTCACACTCTTCGGCCTGAAGCAGTGGGGGACTGGGGGACTACATCGGCCTCAACAATACAGACAAAGGAAAAATGCAAAGAACACAAATGTAACCACAAAGCATGGCCACATCGTTCATGTATCACAACGGCGCCAAAGTTTTCGTGATGCCATCTCCGGCCAGGTACTTTGGACAACACAGCGCCTCGTCGGCCAAAGGCACATAACACCATCAGCAACGGCCAACAGGCCACCTAAGGCAAGGACATTCATCGTCCTCCGCCAACAGTTAATCATAATGGGCTCTTCGGCCAAGAACACGAAAGCCAATCAGCGACGGCCAAAAGGAGTGCGCAAGCACCCTCATCGGCCACCCAAAGGAAAGGACGCCCATCGTCCTCGAGGCAAGGTTCAACCTCAACGGCCTCATCGGCCCAAATGTAAATCTCAACCATCAACGTCCAAGAAAGGGAAAACGCGCCTTCAACGGCCACCATCGAAGCAGGACACTCAAACGAACACACCAAGTAAACAACGGCCTCCCCGTCCACAGCGAGGAGCAGGTAACGGCCAAGCACAGAACAAGATCACCAAAATGGAAACAACGCCAATGCCGCAACAGCTAACGGCCTGGGAGTGCCCGCATCGGCCAAAAGCACCAAAGCACAGGAATCTACTCTCCTTCACTTCGTCTACGTCTCAGCTTAGAGAGTGGGGGACTCCTGATGGAGTATATGGGTCTGAGCCCCAGGACCCACATACTCAGAAGAACAGAAAGCACAAGACACTGAGTGGTGCCCTCGTCGGCCAAGGGACCCCCGTCGGCCGGAAAGGTACCAACTCAGAATATGGTCCTGAATCCAAGGAACCCGGGTGCCCTCGTCGGCCGCGCCCTCGTCGGCCGTGCCCTCGTCGGCCACGCCCTCGTCGGCCACGAAGACCTCACAGAACCGAATTTTACACTTACTCATTTGTACAGCCCATTAGTGGCTTTGTATTCGGCCCAGTAGCGGTCCAGTTGTAAATGGGTCTCCCAAGCCCAAGGCTTGGGAGCCCAGCCCGTATTTTCCCTATAAATACTTCCTCTGGAGGTAGTTATCAGGGTGACGAATTCATTCTATTGAAGCATATTATTGCACTTCTCTCTCTAGCTCTCACTTCTCTCTAGATATACTCCATCAATATTCAAACATAAAATTAATCACCCTCAGACGAGGATATTAAATCAAAGATGTTTTTTCAGAAGAAATTCGGAGAAGGGACTTCAGATTGAATCGAAGAGAGAGATGTTGTTCTTTAGAAACAATCATTCTTCTGGAAAGTTTCAAATTATGTCAGAATTGAATCCTTCTATTTCTGGATTGTAGTATCGTTTTTTTCGTATAAACATGATGATTTAGAGAGGATGTCAACCTGACTCATGCATCTCAACCAACTACAAGAAGCAGAAAACATGTTACATTGAAAGATTTTTTTATACAGATTGAAGGAAAGGAAGAGCGAGTCCCCTTACCTATTGAGATCGAAGAGATTATTCCACCAATTTATTGTTGATGGATATCCCATGATTGAATCATGGCGTCTGACATATATTAGTTACGTCAAATGGACTTGCAAAGTAAATTGTATGCATGATTGGTTGATATTGTCGGTCATGGCGAAATGGATGCATCAAGATTGGGACAACTCATACTTCCTAACCCATAACTCTTCATCGCGTTTACATATAACTCAAAGCGGTCTGAGATCGTTTGTTGTGTTGAGTGTAGAGGATTTACTCTAGATGATCATCCAAGTATCATTTGTAGAATTTCAAGATAAAGGTTGAAATGTTTATAAAAAGACTTGAATGATAATAGACTATTCAGTGAAGTTAAAACATGTATGAAAACTGCATTTAATTTTTTAGTTAATGAACCTTTATTTAATTATAGTAATATAGTATTATAAAAACATTGCTCTAAGTTGAACTCCTATGACTCCATCCAATTGTAACATAATACAAGCATTATAAATTTATTTTACACATGTGGCATATACCCTACCAGGTAAGAATTAGCCCTATAAGTGTTTAGATGTTCAACATGGTGCAACTTAGTATGTATTCCCTCCGGTCCTAAATAAACTACACACTTTCCTTTTTGGGTAGGTTCAAAATAAACTTCACACTTTTTCTTCTTTCCTTATTTGACAAATTATCTACATCAAAAACACTGCAAAATAGTGTCAAACAGTGTCAAACAGTTTCACAACAGTGTATTGTACGGTAAAATCAAATTTATTTTTTTAATTTGTGTGATGTCAAGTTTATTTAGAACGGGAGGAAACAGAGGCTGTATTTATTTGAGATTGAAATAAGTACCCCTAAAAATCGCCATTATTAACCAGGCAACAGATGGATTCCATGACTACCCGAGCTTCTCGTTAACAATACCCTGTTCTGAGCTCACATATGCAATTGTCAACATAGGATTTTGAGGTTGTTCCTTTTCGTGATTCTCCTGTACATAGAATTCACATTGTATATACGATCATATATATCTAAACTTTCATATCCAGCGATTGCCTACCAGATCCATCGGGGTTTTGCATTAAGCATTCGGCTTTTCAATTTCTGGAGAAATATCTGCATTTCTTTTGAAGCTTCTTGTCAATATGGCCAATTTCGAAGAATCGAGTCCCCTTTTGCCGAATAAAAAAGACTCAGAAGCAATAAATGACAGTAATTGCTCCACCGCCACGGTCCCCGCATCGGCCGCCTCCGCGTCTCTGGAGAAGAAACCTTCCACCGCCGCTATAACGGCAGCTCCAGCTCCTCCGCCGAAAGAGGATCCGGGGAAGCATCAACCAGCGTTTGTTCCGATGGGGTGGACCGCCGGTGGGCTACCCATGGGACACAGCGTGATGGGTCAGCCGGTCATGCGCAGGGCGGAGTGGGATTCCGGCGTCTGTTCTTGTCTTGGCCAGAATGATGAGTTCTGCAGCAGCGATCTTGAAGTTTGTGAGTCTTCAATTCCCCATTCCATTTAGTAAAGATTCAATATTTATGCATCAAATGTTCAATTCTTGGTGATTTTTTGGTTTTAGGCCATAAAACTGGAAAGAGTAATATATGTCATTGGTATACTAATCTAGATGATATGGTTGCCTTTTAGATTGAATTTGAAGTCCCATTATCTTTTCATGAAATTGGAATGTATGAAGCTCAAACTAATAAATGGATTTCGATAAGCCTGAAAAGCATCATTATTAGGTTTAACCCTGTTTGAGTCTTAGATTGGCGTTAGGCCCGGTTTGGTTCACAGAATGTGAGATTGCTGGGTATGTTAGATTGATGAGAATGTATTCAATTATATCCCATTTGTGTTTGGTTGAGACTAAGGGAATATCACATTAATTTGTTTGATTGAATGATATCTTATACTAGAGATTTGATGATTTTCTCTTAGCCCAATAAATTTATTACAACCCGCATTTAAACTAACTTAAATTAATGAAAAAAATGAAATACCTTAACAATAAAAAAATCAAAACTAAAAATTATGATTAATTGTGCAAATGATAAAGATATATTGTGGATGTTGCACCCAAAGAGAAAGATAAGTGAACATTAAAAAATAATTTTGTTTAAATAAATACATAATGACATAGATTAATAAATAAATGTGAATATATCATTACCATAACAGTTGTATAAAAAGAACAAGTCAATGTTGCTCTACTTAATTTTGCTAAACTCTCTTTTCAAATTAGCAAAAGAGTGAACTAAATTCTTAAAAACAAGAGGCACAATAATAAGAAAAGCATATTTAAATCAGCTTATGATTCAAAGAAAAATTAGAAGGTTAAAGAAAACCAAAGAACGGCACAATGTGTTGAAAAAATGTATAGAAAATTAAAATAGATTAAGAAAATTAAGGAATAATCAAAAGAAGATTAAAGGGGATTAAAGATTAAATTTAGAGGGAGCAATTACTTGATTTAGGAGACTCTTGTAAAATGAAGATGAAAAACTTTGGATAGAATTGATTGGATAGGAGACCTAAATAGGATTGAAGAGCTATTATAGAATCATTAGAATGCTAATTAAATTAGCATGAGTAAGTTTTAATCAAGGAGGGTGAATGTAAGATAACCTAAGAGGTATATCGGTTTGATATTCCTAGGCATGTCACTCCATTATTTTCTATTTGGGAATATAGCATTCCCAAAAAAATTCAGACATGTGAACCAAACGTGGACATCTTCCGCCTATTCCCAAAGATAGGCACGGTAGTCTTTTGGGGAGATATGGAGAAACTGGATCGGTCTCTATGTTATCCTCTTCCGTTAATTCGCTAAACTGGGAATGATGAATATGGATGATCAGGTTTACTGGGTAGTGTGGCTCCCTGTGTGCTCTATGGAAGCAATATTGAGAGGATTCGCTCTGACCCTGGCTCTTTCTCAAGCCACTGCTTGCACTATGCTGGTTTATACCTGATTGGAAGTTCTTGTTTTGGTTGGAACTGCCTTGCTCCTTGGTTCACCTCTCATAGCCGTACAGCTATCCGCCGCAAGTTCAATTTGGAGGTACATCATTACATGATTCTTATTTAGTTATGCCAAACATCCTTTTAAAGGGTTGAAATAGTATGCTGATTTTCTGTAGTTTACTGCCGATGTATTAACAAATCAACATATAAGATTGAACTACTTTTCTTATCTTGACCTCTGAATATAAAAGTTCAAGTCTTTATGTGATTTAGAGCCAATTTGATCAATATGCTGATATGAAACAAAAAAAAAACTGAACAGTTAATACGAGGTGTCTGGTTGTAAGGGAGTGTTTAAGAGTTTTGTCTATTTTATCTAAGTATGAAATAGCAAATGGACATATGAATGTTTGATAATTCGGATGTGATGTCTTGTTGTGAGGGTGTGTGTGAAGAGTATTGTTACACATTGGCCAAATATCATGCTATGAAGTATATATAAAGCCTTGACAATTTCTAGTTCCCGTGATGAACTGAGAGCGATTCTTTTATCAACAGGGAAGTTGTGAGGGGCTTGCCCGATCATTTGGATGGTCGAGTGCATTTGTTGAGGATGAGATGAAGCGTGAACACTGTGAGTCTGCTTGTGATGTTGCAACTCATGTGTTCTGTCACGCTTGTGCACTCTGCCAGGAAGCTCGTGAAGTTCGGCGCAGGCTTCCTCATCCTGGATTTAACACTCAACCAATCTTGATGACGATGGTCCCTCCGAGGGAGCAAACAATGGGACGTTAAATCTGGAGGAGTCACTTATGTATTCTTCTAACTTGGTTATTCTGTATTTATTTTCTGGTTGGTGATGAGTCACTACTGCTTCCATTAAAGCTTAAGCATATCACATCTCACTTTGCTGTTGACAAAAAGATATGACACTGTATGCCCTCTAGTTACTTTTGATTTATCAATGATGAAACAAAACCGGTTCGTGTACTCCCCGGTCACTTTGCTGTGTATGAAAGCACGTTAAGGCACATCTATAACGAACCACCTTGACCATCTTTCCATTTAAAGAATCCATTGACAACCCAAATGTACCCCCAAATCCATCAACAGTTCACCTAAAACCAATAACATTAACTGAGACAGTGCCAGTAGTGACATCAAGGCAAACGGTTAATTATCGTTCATGTTCTTCACATTTTACCTTTTGAGGCAGTGACTACAATGTCACCGAGGCACGTCAGTATTTTGCGTGTTCCTTATGGTAGTTTTTCTTCACCATCCAAGGTAGTGTTTAGAAACGGCTTCAAGGATAGCCGTACTCCAAATGTTCTGGTTGGTCACACCATATCCCACATTCCTCCATCCAGTCTGCTCATCTGCATCATCGCAAGTCCTAAGATCACTTGCTTAAAAAATGCCTCTGTTGATACCAAAACAACCCACCCATTCCTGAATTTCTCAGTCACCCAATGATATGTTCTTTATCATGCTTGAAAAACAACACACAGTGACACAGGTTCTGTCCCAAAGGCTATTGGTATGAAATGGGTCTTTCATGTTAAAAAAATATCTGGATGGTGCAGTTAACAGCTATGAACCACACTTGACTGGTCACGATTTCGTTTAATTTCCCAGCTGAGATTATGATAAATTTTTTAGTCCCGTCGTCAAATTGATCTGTTATGATGCTTATGCTATATCTTGTCTGATCTTACCAGCCTATCAAACATATGGTGTGTTTTTATTTTCAGTAATAATATGCTCTTCTTGACAAGAATCTCAATGTCGATAGCACTTGTAAGTTGTAAGAAATTTAAGAGATTTTAGCTCCCAAAACACGATTCACTAACCACTGTCATGGGAAGAGAGACGCCCATGCTTAAATAAAGAATAAGCGGTACTCTAACTACCAGTATATAAGTTCTTATAAAAAACTATAGACCGTCCTAAATTTATCTTCCCAATTTCCTTCTGAAACATGAAACATAAGTTATTATGTTTCCATCTTTCATTTAAAACTTTTCCATCTAAATTTTAATAACATCTTTCTTTGTTCGAGCAAATTTTAAAATAAGCATGTCAAGTATCAAAACGAGAGATTTTTAAATCTGAGAGTAATAACTACTGAACCGAAGGAAAAGAATTAAGTCAGAGGAAAAATTAAATTCAATTATAAAGTACTACCTCTATCCTTCTAATATTTATCAGTTTCACTTTTAGATAATTAGTTTCTGATTCTTATTATCTATCGCTCATCCGCATAAAATCCAAGCACACAATTTTTACTTTCTTATTTCATATGACGGTCATACTGCGCAAATTAATAAAAAACAAGTAATTGATAGAATATAATTATGTAAGACCTACCGTTTATATCAACTTTTACTCCATAAAACAAATAATAGAGGCACAGCCGCACGAGCAAGGTGGTGTGACTCACTTCGTTGGCTATCTACCCCGTTAATTGATAGGTGTAATGGAGACAACGAGTTCGTGTTGTGGGAGGTGGAGCCTGATTGCAGGCTATGTAGCACCGATACCGGTACGCGGAATCGCGGAAACGCGGACACGGGTACGGGGATACGATAAAACAAAAAAAAAGTAGGATACGGATACGGGGCCATATTTATAAATATTAAAAGTTACAAGGGTGTATTTACAAATATTAAAAGTTACAGTAGTGTATTTATAAATATTAAAAATAGATTTTTTTTTGGAAATATATACATATAATATCCTATGAAATATAAAAAAAAAAAAAAATTTTTTGGATATATATATCCTATATATACATATATACCCATTCATTACATATACATCATAATATTTCTCATATACACTAGTGCATCTCGAAATATAAATGTAGACATGTAGTCGATAAGTCAAACAACTACAATCTTGAAATTAAAAGTGCAAGTACCAAAGTTCTAGAATAATTAAAATAGAAAACAATATTTTAAAAGCTCTAACTTCTAATACATATTTTCACTGGAAGTATTAATTTCCAGGAATAATATCATCTTCCAAAAAAACGGCCTCCAATTCTGATTCATCTATGGTGAGGTTGGCAAACTCAAGTACTCCTATATTCTTCATACTCCCAAAATCATCTCCACCAACATCCCACATTTTACTATTGTCATTCATATACTGCTTAGAAGCTCGTGATAAAAGACGAAGATTGTTATGAACAAATACCAAATCCTCCACTCGCTTTGGAAGCAGTTTGTTTCTTCTAAATGATTTAATAAAAGAATAAGAACTCCAATTCCTTTCTTAGCATTATGATGAAGTAGGCTGTCCTAGTATACCATATAGGCCCATTATTTGATTACCAAGTAAAATGTAGTTTTAGATTTTCATTTTTTTTAGAATTTTATTAAGTAAATTTTGGGTTTTTTTATTCAAAAAAGTTGATACGGGTATCCGTCAGGATACGAGTATTGGAAACTTTCAAAAAATTACAAAAAAAAATGAAAACTTTTAAAAATTACAGATACAACCCGGGAACGTACGATACGGGTATCCTAGAATATCGGATACGGGAACGTATCCGATACGCCGATATGCTACCCTAGGGAAGTATCCGTGCTTCATTGAATTATTTGCAGGTAATGTAAGATTTGTCTTTTGAAGTCAACACAGACGAAAGCTAATTCATGTGTTCAAAGTGGATTTACTTAATTGTCTAAAGACTTTAGGGAGTAATTAATAGACTTAGGGATTATAAAAAAACGAAAATAGGGAGCCAAATACAATGATGGATGTGGCTCTACAATGCAATAATAGTATGGAGAAGGCGTATATACCAATACATATGATGAGGCTAAGAGGAGGCTGGAGGCCTCACCATGTCAACAAGTTGGGTGTAAACTTTTGTACTCATTGGCAGATAGTGATGTGTCACAAATTCAGCAGTGATTGTTTTTGACCACTAAGCCCTCACCCAGTGGTAGAATTTATGGACAATAATTACAATTCACCAGAAAGATAAGAAACCATTGTGGTAAATAAAAGTTTGCCTTAGACTTTGGAGTTAAACGGTAGGGGCTAGGGATTTGCCCAATAATGTATGGCGACTCATGTTTTCCAAATGTAGGTGTGCACCAATGTCACCTCTATGACGCTGTGTTTGCCTAAAAAACAATTGAGTAAGTTTCCAACACGCAAACTCCACCCTTTTCATAAAGTGCCTTTACAACTGCCGATAGAGGTTTTGTGGAAGTTGATAAACTTTAGGTTGAAACTTGGTTTACCAATTTCATTTCATTTAATTAAAAACCAGATGTTTCCAATGTGCCCCCGGTATCAATTAAGAGAAAATTTTCAAAATGGAAGTAAACATGTTCTGAAATTTCAAAATAGATCTGTCATGTTTATATTCCCTAAATAGGAATAATTACTGCCAAACCAGAAAAATGAACATATATAATGGTTGGTAATGTCAAAACATGAAAATAATTACCCTTACTTAAGAAATAAAAACATGAGAATCCTATTTTGAATTTAAAAAACGTTTGTTGTACTCTTATACAGGACAATTTTTTATTACAAATGATATACCATTGATCTTCTTCATCCGACAAGCGTTACCATCATGTTTAGTTAGGAGTGGGCATGGTTGGTTAACCGTATTTCGGTTAACCAATTTATGGTTAACCGAAATATCGGTTAATATGTTTATGATATCAGTAACCGTATCATAATGACGGTTAACCGGGTAACAATTAACCATCTCATAGGTTAACCGTTAATCGATTAACCAAAAAACCGTATATACAAAGTATATGAATAAACTACTAACTAGGTTCATTTTAATATTGCCGTATGAATAACGCCCTATACTAAATTACGTTACAGACGTAGTAAATTACGTATATGCAGTATTGTGGTTTTCAGAATAACTTTTTTACCAGCTGGAAGTGATGGATAGTGTTACCGGGGGTAGCTTATCCGAGGGGTTATTACGGGGAGTAATAAGAGAGAAGTCAGAGCATGTAAATATAGAGAGAGAAAGTATATTGCAAAGTGTGGAGCGTTTTCAGCGTGGTTACAAATGGGGAAATGGGGACACGGTACTTGGTACGGTGACCCAGATGCGCGTGGAGGGAAGATCCTGTCGAGTGAAGTGCCTTCGGGCACACTAGTGCCGAAGGCTCTCTGTTGCCGAGGGCACATTTGTGCCGAGGGCTCTAGGTGCCGAGGGCTGCCGTTTTTTGCCGTTTTCTCCCAGTTTCTTAGTTTTCTTGAAAAACCCGTTCTGTGAGAGGTTTGAGCCTTCGGCCAGGGGGCCGAAGGCTCCCCAGTGTGCGCTGTGGGCTGCTAAGTGCTTGGGGCGCCGTAATTTGGGCCTGCTGTGCTTCCTGGGCCGGTTGGGCCTTTATTGGTGTAGTAGGAGTCTGTGGGCCGGGGGTTCCCGGGCCATATACTCCATCAGGAGTCCCTCACTCCTTTTGCCGAAAGGTACTTGAGGGAAAATGAGTAATTTGTGCTTGTCCTTTGATGTTGTCCCGTTGTAATCTCTGAAGTTGGTGAGGAGTTGTTGCTTGCATGTCCCTGCTGAAGGCAGTCCCTCAGTTACCCACATGTCGGGACTTGAGGGATTGCTTTGCCGTTTATTGGAATTTTTCACCATTTTGTAATTTAATGATTTTCCCGAAGGGGTTCTCCAGTCCCACACTCCTTGAGGCACTTGTAAAGTGGTGAAAAGGAGTAGAGTTTAGTCCGTTGTAGCATGGGGCCGAGGGCTAACGCTTTTCGTTTCATTTTGGGGGGATGCCTCGTTAAAAACCTCATTAGGAAAAACCCTGTGGGAAAAAATCCTAATGAGTGAAAAAGAGTGCACGAATTCCCCCAATGATGAATCGAAAAGGTTAAACCCTGGTATTAAGTGAAGTGTAATGTTGATGCCGAAGGTTCGCATGATTTGAGGGCGTCTTTGTTGTATTGCTGAAGGCACGGGCTTGATATTCTGGGAGGCGTCGAAGTAGAATCCCTCAATCCATCGGAC